TCTATATTAAATTGAATCTGGGAAAAGGACCTACTGTTTGCATCTTTGAGATCCTGAAAAGAAGAGATTGTGCGTCACAAAGAAACAACTTTGGGTGGAAGGGCCAGAATGAACAGAGGTCATAGACCTGAGATTCAGTGGTTGAAAACACCAGCTATTTCTAAGCCTAAAATATTCTTTGGAGCATCACACACATAACGGGTCCGAAATTCATCCTGTGTTCATAATCCAGCTGTTAAATGCTCATCTCTCTTCCCACATTAGCGGTATGAAGATAGAGAAAAGATGAAATTTCTAATTACATAATCTAATTACAGTACAGATTTAAGTAGACGTTGATTCTAAAATTTATATATATCTATAAACTTATCCCAAGTTTTTTTGGGGGGTGGGCATTTTTACTCAACTATTAGAAGTCTAAAGAAAAAGTTGTAAATATGCTACATGTCTTACCAGACCCACTAGGTATACTGTTAACTAACACTATGAGAAATGGTACTATTTTATTTTGTTTCCCCATTTATAGCAAAATTGATTTTTTCCAAACCGAGTAATGCGTGTGAACGTGCTTTTAATTTCTAACATGCCACATTATATATGTATATTACTTGTCAATATTCTTATACTTCTACGATGGTAGAAATATCCAAAAATTAAGAGCACCACTGTCAAATAGAGATCTACATTTTGAGAAAAGAAAAATATCTTTTTTTCAGTTTGTCTCATTTGCATGCTAGTAAGAGAATTTTGATTCTTAATCTCTCATCTTCATTAAATCTTAATTTCAATAAAAAAAAAAAAATCTGCAAACTCCATGTGTGGCAACCTCTCTCCCTCTTCTGACCTCAATCGCACACACAACTTTAAACCCGAATTATTTCTCACCATATGGGATCTGAGACTAAGATCAAACCCAACCTAGACAAATGCCGTGCCGCAAGTTGACAACTGTTCCCGGAGTCCTGGGCATGCCTGGGAGAATGCCTGCCAGGGCCTACTGTTTTCAAACGAGTTCCATTTCTCTAACAATTTAAATCTGCCAAGAAGAAACCGAGACAATCACACTTCGTGCCAAAAAGCCCCAAGCTTAAGCGAGAGATGTATCCTCTCTTTAGCCTGCTGATGAGAGAGGGAGCAGAGAAGAGGGAAAGGACAAAGATTGGTGATGAGTAGGACAGAGGCTCAGACGCTTTTGGAAAGCCACGAGGGGACAATGTCTGGCCTAATGATGTCACCTTGTTAAGTCCATAACCGGAACAAAACACACCCGCTTCCTTTCCCTGACCTAGGT